GTAGAGGGGTGCATGGAGATGACAGGATTCACCATCACGATCGCTTTTTTTTTTTTTTTTTTTTCCCTCCAATATTATAGAAAGCATCAGGGGAGTCAGAGGGCAGTGGGACGCTCGTTGCATCAGCGTATCCCGTCGGAAGCTCGTTTCATCAGTGTTTATCAGTGGGAAGCTCATTTCGTCAGTGGATCCAGCAGTAGAGGCTTCCTTCCTAGCAGTGAGAAGGTCGTTGCATCAGCGGATTCAGTGCGGATTCTTCACGCCTCCGAAGCTGTAGCTTGTTGCTCTATTAGTGCAGCTCTCTCTCTCTCTCTCTCTCTCTCTCTCTCTCTCTCTCTCTCTCTCTCTCTCTCTCTCTCTCTCTCTCTCTCTCTCTCTCTCTGTGACTCAGTGTGTGTCCCGGGGGAGGCTCGAAGGCAGTACGGAGCTTGTTGCATGAGTTCAATTCTTTACGCAAATGAAGCTGTATCTTGTTGCTTCATGGCAACAGTGCAGTAGGAGGAAGTGACTCGACTGCTGACGCACGTGCACTCAGAGTGGATTGCGGTGATCTGGCATGGCGGGTATGGATGGCGGTCCTCTCTTTCCTAAAGTCCGCTGTACATGCACCAGTGGGCAAGCTCTATTGGCAAACACCGTGCAAGGAGCCCCATCTGAAGCCTTTCCCGTTGGTGCCAAGCGGCCGCAAATCCCAGAGGGAAAAAACAAAAAACAGAGCTGCAGAATTGCCGCTGGTATCCTGTGACTGCCCAATTCCCATTTCCCAAAATCGTGTGGCGGCCTCAGCCGTGTCTTTTCCGGATTGGGGACACGGTGTGACCTGGGCCGCCACTAAAACCCCAAATTGGGCCTCCGCAATTTCTCATAAATTGGGGATCTGGTATCGCAGTGTGAGCATGCCCTCAGGCCAGACCTGCGTGCACCGGGGGCCATGCCCCACTAGCGGGGGGTTAGTTTATGTGTTTCATGTATTTTCCAACGTGGTCACAATAGGGCCGTGAGATTTTCAGATCTGATGACAAGGAGCCAAGCACACTCGAAACCCGAACAAAACCTCGAGAAGTGGACATGGGCCACAGACATGAACGACGAGATTGGTTGGTTAAATAAATAAAACAGGAAAGTGATTTGTCACTTTAACATTGCAACAGACCCCAATGGCCGTATGAGCCCGGTCACCTCTGGCCGTCCATCTTTGTAGGCATACTGAACGACTAGATAACAATTTCTTTCCTACCTAGAAACAAGACCGCACGACCGCACGACCCTCTACCATGACCGCAACCACACTGCCCGCATGACCGGTCGGTCCCCTTTCACCGTCAGCAACCCTTTATTGCATGCAACGACCCCCGAGTCATTGGCTGCCGCTGCCAGCAATCACCGCCGGGGCCAAGTCCCACCAGCAGCGTGCAGTGTCCTCGAAGGCTGAATCTGGACGTGTTTGTGGAGATGTGCGGTTGAGGAAGGTTTTTGGTTTTTTTTTTTGCTTTTTCGTTTCTGCATGCATCTACCCGCAACTCCATCCACCGCCAGAAACCTGCATACTACCCGCAACTCCATCCACCCCAACTCCATCCACCCCCAGAAACCTGCACACTACCCGCAACTCCGTCCACCCCAGAATTCTGCATACTACCCGCAACTCCGTCCACCCCCAGACAACATGCGCCCTACGGTAGCCCGACGAATCTGGCAGACGTTACGGCTGCATGCAGCCATAGAAATCCCTTCGCTACTAACTACGGGTCGTGATGCACACTGCCTGTGCAGCGACATCAAACATCAAACTTTCCTATACCAGAAACCATCCAACGACCTCCACCTCCCCGCTCTTCACCACACGACCACGCCACCCTCTCCCGCGACCGCCGCCACGTTACCTGAGGAAACGACCGGTTGGTCTCCTGTTGGCAATCGCAACCCTACTTTGCATGCAACGACTCCCTGTATACCCCTCTAAGACGTACTAAGCGGTCGACGACATTCCCCATATGGAGCGCGATCGCTACACGACCAAAAACATTAGTCTATACGCAGCCATCCTGGCTGCGAACTACCCTACCCTATTCACCAAGGCTTGCTCTCACCTAGTGGGACTCCGTTCCCAAACGACAACTCGTCAATACCCAGGATCCGGTAGCTTTCCTGGGACTGAGTTCCAAACCTCGAACCAGTACATAGGTAGGTGCCTGCCTGCCAGGCCCTTGCCGTATGAGGGGCCTTGTCCATATATATATATCGTCATATATATATCGTCAATATATATATATATATTGTCACATCACTACAAACTAAAAGAGCGCACTTTGCGGAACAAAGAATAAAAGCAAAAAACGGGCACAGTGATAACATGCAAAAATAAAAATAAAAAGAAAAACAAAAAGAAAAAACAAGGGCAGATTGAAACCATTAAATTTCTCATTCTTCTTTGAACTCCACCTCCACTGTGCCTCTCACGTGCAAGGCTCGCCACGTTATATATATATATATATCGTCACAAATAGAACTGCCCGGTAAACCGTAGGCAGAGAGAGAGAAGAGGACAACAAACGAGGGGCTGTGAC